GAGTTTAGCACGACACCCACAAATACAAAAGCTCCTGTAATGGAGGCCAGGGAAGTGGTTCAAAGGCCTCAACATATGTTCTGAACTTAGGAGTCCCAGGCTGGATGACACTGGGTGGTTTCCGTGCATTGCAAGAGTGACTCCTAAGTACTACCCAGTGTGACCCCAGAACAAAAAGTTCTCATGCTAGAAACACCGCAACCCTTCTCACCAGGGGCACAGAATCTTCCAGATGAAAGAGGAGAGCAATGATGTGGGCTAGCGCAGATAAGACCCTGTCCTCTTAAACTGCAACCCCACACAGGGTCACAGAACTGAATTTGGAGGGGTGCAAAAAGTTGTTTTAAAATAAGTTACCAGTAAATTTTGGTTGATAGACCTATCTAGTACGCCTGGAGTCTGTGTCAACATTTCTGAAGCAAACAGCCCAGGGATGGGAACATCTGCCCTCAAGGGAGCTAAGGTGAGAATGCTGGGTGAGCTTCACGGGCCGAGCCATGGAACCTGGGGACAGCTGGGCATCTCACTTCTTCAACCCTACTTACTGCGAACATACCTTGTTCTCGCCCTTAAACACCAAATGCAGATCTGCAGGAGTTGGGGGTACTGGTCCCAACTGCCTTGGTCCAGCTGTGTTTGGGCACGCACTCAGAGCTGGGGTCTGTAGCCCTTGTGGACTGGCACCGGAGCCAGTCTGCTCAAAGGTGCACAGGGCGCTGGGCCTCCAGAAATGCCGAGCTGCTGGCCACCTCAGAGAGAACCAGCCGGGGACACACCCTCTCACTGGAGCCCAGACTCCTTCCCACTGTCTGAGGGAATCTACTGTGAGCACATTTTGGTGGACCTGCGTGTTTTCCATCTCTTTTATCTAGCCCACTCGCAGATTAGGATCTGCACCCATGACCAGCCGGAGTGGGGTGGGGGGTGGGGTTCTCTTGTCCCCCGCATCGTTCCCACCTCTTTCTGTTTCCCTGGTTTGTGCCTTCCTCTAAGACCCTTTTCACTGCCATTCTAGCTGGAAAGGCTCCAGGGATGGTGCACGAGACATTAAACAAGATATATTTCAGCAATAAACAAGATTCTTCTATTTCTCCTGGGATCCCAAAGAAATAAGGATGAGAAATAAAAACTCCTGCTGGGGTATTTACAGTGTACTCAGCTGTTGAAATGTTCGAAATGCAATCAAGGAAGTCATTTAGCACATTTCTAATGCACTTGACTACAGTAATAATGTTGAAGAGTTTGGCCAAACTTGAGGAACCCGGCGAATCTTCTAGGACATTATGAAAGAGTCTCCCATTCACCACCACCCACCCACCCACCCCACCCCACCCGCCAACACTATTTTAACAGTTAAGAGCACTGTGCCTTTTTGCAGGTTGTTACTTCTGTTACTAAATCTAGAAGGGAAGAGACAAAGTTGTTACTTTGTGTCCTGCGGGATAGTGACCCAGAAGGGAAAGGAAGGTCAGAATTTCCCTGGGCAGGGACGGGCATGATCTGATGCCTCTTCTCTTCCTGTATTTTCAGGGCATGTGTTGCTCATGTACTGTCCAGTACCATGTTTCTCTGGCCCTCTCACTGCCCACTTTTCAATGAAACTTGCCTACCAGGGCAATTTTCCAAGCATCGGTCATCGTGTACCTCTTTGCATGTTCGTGATCATCTACGAGTGATATTTTCTTGATCCCTATCATACTCTTTTCCTTTCATTTAAGGCAAGTTATTTTCTGAAGCAACGTCCTTAGAATCAAACCACTTGTACATAAATTCCAGTTATGTCTCTTCTTGGTTCTATGTCCTTGCCAGTTATTTGACCTTCCTATTATTTCTTCATCTCTATAAGAGGGTAACACCTACCCCATAAGGTTGTGGTGAGGATGAAGTAAAGCAATAAAATCCCAGCCCACATGGCAAAGTAATTAGAACGATGCCCAGTAAGTATAAACTATAATAAATAAGTCAAGACCAGAGAGAGTGCTCAGCGAGCTGGGCACCAGCTTTGCACATGGAATGCCCAGGTTCAGTTCCCAGCACTACAAGGCCCCCTTCGTGGTAGGGACACCCCCCGTCCCAGAACCACAAAAATACCCCCCAAACAGGAATGGTTAGTTGTCATTTTTTACTACATGAATGTTGTATTACCTGCAATGGAGATAAAAAGAGTAAACTATTACAAATGTAAACATTAGTCTGTATGTACAAAGGAGGGCTATGTCACCTGTCAAGCACTGCCAGATGTAACCTAGACACAGAACAAAATAAAAAGCGTGATGTGACCTGGTGCTTACACATAAAGCAACTGGGATTTCCCTTAAGATTAGTATTGGGGCTGGAAAGATGGTACAGTGGGTAGGGCACTTGCCTTACACACAGCCTACCTGGGTTCCAATGCCAGCATCCCACATGGTCCCTGTGCAATGCAAGGACTGATTCCTGAGTGCAGAGCCAGGAGTAACCCCTGAGCATTTTGCCAGGGGAAGCCCCAAAACAAAGAGGTACTGTAGCACTGTAGCACTGTCCTCCTGTTGTTCATGGATTTGCTCCAGCGGGCCCAGTAACATTGTGAAACTTGTTACTGTGTTTGGCATATCCAGTACGTCAAGGGGAGCTTGCCAGGCTTTGCCATGTGGGCAAGATACTCTCGGTAGCTTGCTGGGCTCTCCGAGAGGGGTGGAGGAATTGAACTCAGGTCAGCCGGGTCAGCTACGTGCAAGGCAAATGCCCTGCCCGCTGTGCTATTGCTCCAGCCCTGAAGAGGTACAGATTAGTGTTAATCGAGGCTTACATAAAATTCTCCAAGGAATGGCAATATGAACATTTCTACTTTGTTTTGGTTCGGGGGCCGTGACCAGTGGGGCTCAGGGAACCTTACGGGGCGCCAGAGATCAAATCTGGGTCGGCTGTGTGCAAGGCAGCGTCCTGCCCACTGTACTCTCTCTCTAGCCTCTAAACTACATTTTTGTTTTGGTTTGGGGTCACACCCAGCACTGCTCAGAGCTTGCTCTGGCTCTGTGCCCAGTAATCAATCCTGGAGTGTTCTGGGGACCCTCTGGGACACCAGGAATTGAGCCACGGTTGGTGGCCGTATGCATGGCAAGCACCCTACTTACCGTACTATACTGCCAGTCCTTGAACTATTTCTTTTTTAATGGCATCATTTTAAAAGTTAGCATTAAACAGAAGAGGGAAAGGTGTGATATCTGCTGTTCACCCAAAACTGGGCATAAAGAGTACTAGAGTCACTCAGTTAATATTGGGTTTAGTGAAGTCAGATGCAGTAGACTTGGTCTTGATTTCAAAGCGAAGCTGAACTGCACTAACGAATTAACGTTCTGTTCTATCTACTGATCTTCAATTCTCAGCATAGCCATATTTGTGAAAACGAAAGCCTCAATGGGTCCTAACTCATGCAAAGCACTAATCTCTATGCCAAAGTGAAGCAAGAACAGGAGACATCTATGAGGTTTTTGTTTGTTTGTTTTGAGGGGGAGAAAATACAACTATTCTTGAAGTTGAGTCATTTTGTTTTTATTCAGAATCATACAAAGCACTATCATCTGTATTATTTAGCAGTGGCTTTCAAAATCTTTTCACAATAAAAATTTTACATCATGACCCAGATCATATTAAGTAGATCTTCACCACCTACTATTTGCCAAATACCATTCTGCGTGGAATACAGCAGTGAACAGAGGAAGGAAAGGGAGGAAACACAAGCCCTTGCTCTCAGAGACTTCACAGACTGGTGGAACTCACAGTAAACAAAGTCAGATAAATACAAACCAAATAGAAGATTCACGAAAACAAAACCTCATATTACTCCTTATGATACCCTCTGAGATTTTTATTTTTCCAAGATAAAATGCTGGCCTCAGCCCGCTATGCCACAGAGATGGTGTCTCAATTCAGTATCGGGTTGACACCTGCGCTTAAAGAGGACCCGGCTAGACAGTGAGTGATGAAGCCAGCAACATCTGGACTGCTCCTGTATGACAGACAAGACAAGGGAACATGTCAAATGTCAAGACAGGTGAAGGAAGTGACCCCAGTTCACCCCAAACTCAAGGGAGGCCATGCTCAAACTTCCCGTCTGGGCTTCTCACGGACCACTTCTCTGTCGTCGGCTTCACAACCATCTTTGTGTCTGCTTTGCTTTGAAGATGAAATCTTGACTTTTCCTGGAACAGCTCTGCCCTCGCCAGCCAGGTAACACTGAGATCCCTGCAGACGGCCCCGCCGTCCAGCAGCTGCTGCTCCTGGGCACGCCACACATTCCGGCTTCCGGCTCTTCACCAGCTCAATCCGGCGCTTTACACAGGGCACTTATGAGCACATCGGGGACTTAATGGAAGTTCTCAATGACTCCAGGAGGAGGATGGGGGAGGCACTGAAGCCAGAATGGCAGAATTCAGGCAGCATCTTACCTACAAGGCTCACACTAGCAAAGCTACCACTGAAACTCTCTCCCTGAAGGCAGGTACTCGGTAGCCTTCGAAGTAGAAAAACTGTAAGTCCAAATACCTCTTATCTCCTTTCTATCAGCAGGTTTAGAGCCGGTCGGGCATGGCCCATACAGAGAGACACTTGGGCCAGAGAAGAGCCGGGTGGTCCTACCGGTGGCAGAGGAGTCTGAGGCCCAGAGCAAGGAGGGGCACCAGGCTGGAAAGTAGCCGGGACAGTGGGAGCAGCTGCCCTCACTGAAATGAAAAACAGTTGAATTCTCAAAAGGGAAATGCTACACACAGCCCTGTGTGGAACTGAGTTTGGAGAAGAGGCGGCTGTGTGGTTGGTACTGGTCTCTACTGGAGAAGGGGAAGGAGGATGCTTTCTGCAAAGGGAGTTGAACGTTCACTGTTAACCCAGACTGGAATTTTAAGCTTGAACTTCATCCTACCAGAAGATAGGGATTCCAGGGACCAGGATCAGTTCATATATATATATATATATATATATATATATATATATATATATATCACGATCACGACCACCCTGTTGTTCATCGAGTGCCTCGAGCAGGTGCCAGTAACGTCTTCTTTGTCCTAGCCCTGAGATTTTTTTTTTTTTTAAAGTGCCATGTTCAAGGCTTTTTCAGGGTTAGGAGAATGAGACCCATCATTGTTACTGGTATTTGGCATATTGGGTATACCACGGGGAGTTTGCCAGACTCTGCTGTGAGGGCAGGGTACATTTGGTAGCCTGCCAGTTTGAACCCTTGCTTTTATATATACATATATAAATTCTGCATCTCTGGCGTCACCTAAGATATTATTTAAATCCTATGAATTTTTTTAAAATGGGATTTTAGCCAAATGACCTCTATCTTGCCTCTGTAAGCCTATGAATGCATATGTATCCATCACTCAAAGTACATTCTCTAACCCATGGTTTTATTTTGAATTAGAGATTCTAATTCTGTAGGACGAGTATAAAGTAGTGGGGCCCGGTTTTTTGTTTTTGTTTTTTTCCTTTTTACAGCGCTGGGAATCAGAACCAGGCCCTCCAAGGTGAGGCCCGTGCTCTCCCACTGCATTATTGACACGAGCATCTCTGACACCAGGCGCTGTTCAGGGTGTGTGGGGTGAGAAACTTGTTTAACCAGACCCCTTCCTCCTTGAAGTAGTTTAAAAGGGGCTCGGCTTGCACATAGATTTAATCAGCATTAAACAGACCACAGACTCAGACAGCCACACCATTTAGGGAGTAACACAAAATAGGTGCATGTACAAATGTGAAAAGCCACCACATTTCTTATCATCATTGTTACTAGCATTCAGTCACATCATTTAGTGGCACAGATTTATAAAAGATGTCTAAGACTGGTAATCCAGCCTTAGCTGGGGTTTTCTCTTAAGATTATGAAAAGGGGGAACTAGTTATGAGTTAAAGAGTATTTCAGAATAATAAGCCGATTACGGACTTCAAAGGTACACTGATATCAAATCTATAAACAACTAATTTGAATGTGACTTATTAAAAGTAACTTTTAAGCCTATAGGTTCACATTTTTAAAAAGCACCCTTGTTTCTTTAAAGTACTATAAATGATTCTTGAAAGTCTATTGTAGACATGATATATTCAGTCCAACGACCTGGAAATGGGGAGGTGAGTGTTCGCAGTCTAATTTTGAGTTACAAATCAAACTGCATTACAAAGAAGTTATAGTCACAGGTAACATCATCATCTCCTCAATAAGACAGCTCCGAGAGCATCTTGTCACCCTTCTTGGCTTTCACGGACACATACCTTTCTTTTAACAAAGCAAAAAACAGAGAAGTCCAACAAAATTCTGAAAGTCACAGTTCAGATAGCACTGAGTGATAGTAGCTTTGGCATCTGATGTTACAAAGTCATTTTCATTACAAATTACTTTCTTCATTCTGGGTCCAGACGAGGTAAGACAGGAAGAATAAGATTCCCAAAGGCGGAGTCTTGAGTTATGAAGTATCCGGATGAGTGTGCGTGAGCATGCTGGGGATGAGTTTAAGAAAAAAAAAAAATACAAAATGAAGCTATTAAGATTCACAATTCCTCCTCCAGGGATTAAAGATACTTATCCTCTGAGTGCTTGAGACCAAAATTATTTTATAAATCAGTTCCTGTGCTACTAATTGTGTTTTATACACAGGAGATAGGCAACAATCAAGGACTGATATTAACAGATCACACCAAGTACTCATTGACTATCCCACTTTCTCCCTCCGGGATTCTTCCGTCAATAAACACACCAAATGCATGAATCACCTCATTCCTAGAAAACCAGCAGCAAGAGTCTCAAAGTACTCTGCTCCTGATCAACACCACAGGAGCCTGAGGAGCAAGGGCAGTGATAGAAGGAAAGGCGGGGAAAGGCAGCTACCCTGGTGATGACAATCCTAAAACTTTGTAGATTGTGGGATGTAGACAGTAAAATCACTGGGAACTTTCCTATCACTGAAGGAAGGCTGTTTCAGGTTGTCTACAATGAGGCGGTATTTAATATCCCTTCTAATCGTGAGATTCTCAGATTTATAAAGCCAAAGTAATGTCTCGTCCAGAGTCGCTAGGAATCAATTATCCAAGACCCGTGTAAAACTGAAACTCTTCATCACATGGAAAACAATAGTTTTTAAACTGATGGTCATATTCCTGTAGTAAGGTACAGTTTCCTGCACAGGCATGCGGATCATGCAAAAAAGATTCCAGGGGCCAGAGCGATAGTACAGCAGGGAAGGCGTTTGCCTTGCACACAGCCGACCTGGGTTTGATCCTTGACATCCCATATGCTCCCCCCGGGCCCGCCAGGAGTAATTTCTGAATGCAAAGGCAGGAGGAGTAATCCCCGAGCATGCCAGGTATGGCCCCCAAAGTAAAAAAAAAAAAAAAAAGCTTTCAAACAGTAAAACAGAATAGGGGGGCAGAGTGCCAGCTCACAGAGCACATGTCTTGCATGTTCAGGTCCCAGCAGGGTTCCCACAAACTGCTAAGTTTGTTATCAAAGGGATATACTGGCATGACAAATTAAATATCTGTACATGTACATGTTCTGTCGGGCCCGGAGCGGGGAGGGCGTCGTTTGCCTGGCACGCAGCTGATCCTGGTTGGATCCCCAGCATCCCATAGAGTCCCCTGAGCACCACCAGGAGTAATTCCTGAGTGCGGAGCCAGGAGTAACCCCTGAGCCTAGCCAGATGTGACCCAAAAAGAAAAAATATATATACATGTTCTGTTCACTAGGGAGTTTATTCCCTCCCTCTCCTGGAAAATTGAGGACAAAATTTAAGAGAGGGGGGAAAGAAGGCAGAGAAGTGTCCCAGCACTTCTCACACAGGAGGGTCTCACACAGGAGTCCCGGCAGTTCAGCTCTGAAGACTATTCTGACCGTCCAAATATCCTGTGTTTTGTATGGGGGGCACACCTGGCCATGCTCAGAGGACACTCTGTTCTGTCGGGGGGACTATGCAGTGCCAGGGGCCTAAGCCAGATCCCACCTGTAAAAAGCCTGCTCTCAGCCCCTTGCGCTCTGTCTCCGCCCACCAGTGTCCTCAATTCTTCTGCGCACAAGCAATCCCCGTGCCAGGTACAGCACTGAATCAACTGTGATCACATCAGCCCCCATAATCAAAGAGTTTCATTACTGCTCGACTGGCCCTTCCAATCCTTTAAGCAAGACTGAACATCAGCAAACTACAGCAGCAATTGTAGCTGGAACGTTTTTATTGGCATTGCTCCACTGCAATACAAACTGGGACTGTGCTGGTTTCTGAGACAGAGGCAATCCCCGATGAGACACGTGTGCATTGCACGGGGCTCACCTGCAGTGCGGCCTTCTGCTGGGCCGCGATGTGCTGCTGCTCTGCGTGGTCACGGAAGTCCTTATTCAGCGAGGGCCTCGAGAGCGCGATGCTGCAATGGGAAATCGCGATTACTGGGTGGCTCCTTACTTCCAAAAAAGAGCTGTCGTGATAGATTCTTTACAGGGATTTAGAAATAAGACCTTCTAGAATCTCTCTTCCCCCCATTTCTCTTGCTCTCTACACTAATTGTAAGCAGAAAGTCTCTCTTCTTTACCAGAACTTCAAATGATCGCTTTCTGATCGATAAGTTATCATTCCGAACTTTCAAGTCTATTGAAAGCATGAGGAGGAGGAGGCAGGGGAGGGGAAAGAGGAGGAGGGAGAGGTGGAGGGGGGTAGGGGGAGAGGGAGGAGGAGGAGTTGCTGGTTTCAAGCAGAAGGTCAAGCCTACAGGGACCTGGAGCCAAAGAACTTGGTGTGTTTGAAGAAACCAAGGCTGAGAGGGTTGGGAAGGGCTGGTGTGGACTAGCCAAAAATGAAGCTCAGAGGGAAGACAGGTGCCAGGATAAGAAGACAGTGAAATAAATTAAGAAGCGCAGACGTCAGGGCAGAAGCGATGGGAAAGCAGGAAAGGCACTTGCCTTTTTACGCAGATGACCTGGGTTCAATCTCTGGGACCTCTAGGGTCTCCAAAGTTCACCAGGAGTAAGCCCTGAGCACAGCTGGGTTTGGCTGAGGAAGGGAGGGAGGGAGGGAAGGAGGAAGGAAGGAATGCAGATGTCATTCTGACCCTAAGGGGAAACTTTCCAGGAGCATCATAAAAACTAGAGTGACAAGCCCAGACACTCTGCACTCTAGTTCAGAGCCCGTGACAATGCCAAGGGTGCTGGCTACCTGCTCAACCACCACTCTGTCTTCTTCCTGGCTGCTGAACCCGGATTTAGCTGTCATCAGTGGCTTTCCCCTCATTGTGGGGTGAACACAGACATAAGACAATGCCATTCTTTCCCTTGATGGTTTCTAATTTAGGCAAGACGAAGGTTCCAGTTCTGGCCAGTGAGGCTTGAGAGGTGGTCTGTGGGAGAGCCTCCTGAAAGCCTTTTCCTCACTCTTACAAAGTCACACAGCAAAGGAATTTTTCTGGCTTTTGCCTATTGGTAGGTGGCTGGTTATGGAGATGAAGCCTAAAGCCATCATAGTCTGACTGTTTGGGAGCTGCTGGCCCATGGAGGGAGGCAGAAAGCAGAGATGAAAGGATAAGGAATCTCTACTGACATTCTGGAACCATCTTCCATATGCTTTGTACATGGATGACCTGAGTTCGATCCCCAGCATCCCTTGAGCACTACCAGGAGTAATCACAGAGTACTGAGTCAGGAGTAACCCCTGAGCATCTCTGCATGTGTAACCCCCCCCCCCCCCCCCCGCCCCAAATACCACCGCTCCGCTCTTCCAAAAGGAGAGTTCTCAGTGGTATCAAATAGTGTCCAGATGTCAACCAAGGAGAGAACTGTGATCCACAAAGAGGCTGCAAGTGGCAGGTTGAGAACCAGTTCAGGGATGGGGGAAAGGGGACAGCCTGAAGCGCAAGTATGATGGGATGAAGAGTAAATCCTAAGAAAGCAGAGAACAGGAAAACCCTTCAAGACGTCTGACTAGGAAAAAGGGAATGTTAAGGGTTCAAGGGCGTAAAGAATCAGAAGGGGCTGATCATGAAACCACCTCAAGTTCATCTACTCTGCAGAAAGCCTAAAAAGTAGACATCAGCAATAATTTCTGTAATGAAAAAAAGTCATACAAACACCCCTTTTAAAAAAATAGGCTGTCGGGAAAATAAGATTTTAATTAAAATATCCAAAACTTAATCTTAACTTTTGAAAGCTAACTAGAAAACAAAAAGTAACTTATCAATTCCAATGTTTAAGAAACATTACCAATCAATTTGAGTTTTTTTGGTTCAAAACATTTCTTATATCACTGACTCTAAAAGTCATTTTATTCTTCAATACCTAGCTCCAGGATGATTTGTTGAAGATTGGTTCTGCATTAGTAATTTTCTTTTCTCTTTGTCCAATTCTGCCAAGATTGCAACTCTATTTTTGTTTTGAAAACCTATAAAAGGAAAAGGGGGAGAGGAGAAAAAGAAATAAAAATCATTCCTGTACTCTTTTATTACTGGGCCATCTGAAATCCCAGAAACAAAATTCCGTTCTCTAACATAATGGATAATGGACTGCCTACTAAGTCATTTCCCTGGGTTCCTATTCCCTAACTCTCTTCCTCTCCAACTCTAAGAGCGTAATATATAACATATAAAGCATAACACTAAGTCTGCTACTGATGGGGAACTTTTTAAAGACTTGGTTCCTAGAGAATCTGACACCCCAAAGTTGTAGGAACTCATCTCTATTGTACGTTCAACCTCAGAGAAGTGACTCACCTCGTTTTTGGTTTCAGAAGCCTTTGTGAATACCTCTTTCATGAAAGGAAAACCCATTTGACATTCTTAGATCAAAACACTATTTCTTTTTCTCAGTGAGGTTTCTCTAGAAATGATACGTTTCAAGGAACCAGGAACTGCTATGGACTGGAAACCAATTCTGATTAAGAATGGAGCATAACTGGGAAGGTGTGGAAGTGTCCTTAACACTTAACATGAAGCCTCCAATCTATCAACTAGGTTTGAAAAATCTGGATTCAACGCCAGCATGTAAACCCTGGAAGAGTATCCAAAATTCTGATTTTTATTTTTCTATTATTGCAGTAAGGGAACAACTGCAGAGCACCCATTTTGTACATATTCCACAACTTCTTTATGCAGTTATCTTACTCATTTCTCCAAATCCTGGTTATTGTAGTAAATGTTGCAATGAATACAGCTGTGTACATTTTTAGGTTTTCAGAGTAGATGCCAAGAAGAGCATCCACTGGGTCATATGGAAGCTCTCTCTAGTCTTACTCTGAGCTTGAGTACTTCAAACCAGGGCCATCAAATTTTTCTCCTTTCCCAATTCCCTAAAGTCTCTCAGTAACTTTTCCACAACACATTCAGGCTGAGTAACTAAGATCTCTGTTTATTAATGTTTATTAATGAGTTGGGTTTAAGCAGGAAGCCGTGAGCTGTGATGTGGCAAGGGAAAGTTGAGCCCCCAGTGAGCGTTGTTCCTAAGCATTCAAACACCACAACCAAAGGTGTGACCTCCATGCGCACTGCAAGCAAAAGTATGTACAAACACAACTGAGGTCAATGACTCGCACTGGGAGTCACTCCCAGCAGTGCGTGGGGGACCAGGCAGTGCTGCAGATCAAACCCAGGGCCCGGCACACCCTCCAGCCCTTTGAGTTGTCGTCTCCCAACCCAGCTCTCCAACAGACTAAGTTGTTGTTGTTGCTTTTCCCTGAAAATATGAACAATGGTTTTTTGGTTTTTGTTTTTTTTGCTTTGAGTCACACACACCCAGCAATGCACAGGGATTATTCCTGGCTCTGCACTCAGGAACCATTCCTGGAGGTGCTCAGGGAACCGTATGGGATGCTGGGAATCGAACTCGGGTTGGCCACATGCAAGGCAAACGCCCTACCCACTGTGCTACCGCTCCAGGCCCAAACAATGTTTTTCACATATTTTTGTTTGTTGGCTGATTGGCTGGTTTTTTGTTTTTGTTTTGCTTTTTGGATCACACCTGGCGATGCACAGGGGTTCCTCCTGGCTCTGCACTCAGGAATTACTCCTGGAGGTGCTTGGGGGACCATATGGGATGCTGGAGATAGAACCTGGATCGGCCACATGCAAGGTAAACTCCCTCCCCGCTGTGCTATCACTCCAGCCCTACGTATTTGTTTTCAGTCACACAACGTTCCACCACCCTTCCTTTCACCAGTATACATTTCCCACCACCAATCACTAACATCCCCAGTTTTCCATCCAACCCTCCTTTCTCACAGCCTGCTTCGATAGCAAGCCTGTCTCTGTCTGTCTCTGTCTCTGTCTCTGTCTCTGTCTCTCTCTCTCCCTCCCTCCCTACTCTCAGTTTTATTCTGTAATACATCCTTCTTCAGTCAACTTCACTCCTAAATGTTTCTACAATAACCTTCCTGATTTCGGCCCCTTTTCCACAACCTAGCGAGGCAAGGTGAACTCTCGACAGCAATCTAGCGCTTTATGTCCGAATACAGGCAACCAAGAGCAACGAAAGCTCATTTTCACGGAAGGGATACAGACAGATCAATAAGGTTTCTTGCCTCCGATCTTGTTAGTAAACAATCTTGAAACTTAAGCACTTTAAAAAATAATCTTGTATTAATACTGACAGTTTTTACATTATAAATAAATATAAAAGCCAGGAGATAATTGGGTGAATAGTAAAAGATGTTTCTCAAATCTAAAATTTAGTCTATCTGCTTATGGGAAGTAGTTAAGAATAATTACCCGGGGATATGGTGCCGCCAGCAGGACAATCTGTACCTGTGAGGCGAGTGCATCAGCAGCCTGATGGCACCTTCAGACTTCCAGATACTCCCAAATTGCTACTGTGCCTTTGGCCAGACCCCAAAAACTTGGGGCAAAGTTTACCAAGAAAGCAAATGGCCAAAAGTTAGGTATGTGGGAGACACACCCACAAACCACCTCCGGCTCAGCTATATAATTGGAGGCAAGGTCTCTGTGGTTCCTTATCAAACTGCTTAACAGTCATGATCCCAAAGACTCAGGGACAAATCTCGGCACCCAGCGGCTTTTGGCAGAGATGCGTCTGGTCCCTGCAATGTGTTACCAGCACCAGATCTCCACAGGGGGAAAGGATGTTGTCCCTCCACCTGCTCCCCCTTGGCGGCTTGGTGGTCACCATCTTCCAGAGGCCACTGGACAGTCAGGTTTGGGCCCGCAGTGACAAGACACATGGGGCCTCACGGGATGGAGGTGGAGCCGGCCCTTTCCTCCCCACCCAAACAAGACCCCAAATCACTGCCCACAAATGGCATCTCTGGCTCCTGATCAAGCTGTTAAGGCCATGATCCCAGAGACTCAGAAACAATCTCAGAACCCAGCGGCTTTTGGCAGAAATGCATCCAGTCCCTGCAGTAGGTTACCGGCGCCGGGCCACCCCAGGGGGGAAAGGGTGCTGTCCATCCGTCTTGGCGGTTCGGTGGCCACATCCTCCAGAGGTCATTGGACGGTCAGGACTGGGCCCACAGTGATGAGACATGCAGGGCCTCACGGAATGAAGGTGGGGCTGGCCCTTTTCTCCCTATCCCAACGAGATCCTGAGTCACCACCCACGAATGGCCTCTCTGGCTCCTGATCAAGGTGCTTAATGGCCATGATCCCAGAGACTCAGAAACAAATCTTGGAACCCAGCAGGTTTTTAGCAGAAATCCCTCCAGATTTAATTGTTAAAATTTTGAAATTCCAAAATCGTGCAGCCACTACTGCAGCCACGTGACATCATATTCATAACCAGCAATAGAAAACAAATTGCCTACTGTTGCCTTTTTGGCAGATCTGAGTGTTGGGGTAAAATCCCAAATAATAATGGTGGGTCTGGTGTCAAAATATTAAATGTAATCAAAGTAGAGAGAGAATAATGTGGAAATCATCTGACCCATTGGTAGGGGAGGGTGTGGGATGGGGGGTATACTGGGGTTTTTGGTGGTTGAAAATGGGCACTGATGAAGGGACGGGGTGTTTCATTGTATGACCGAGATTTAAACCTGAAAGCTTTGTAACTGCTCTCACGGTGATTCAATAAATAAAATTATAAAAAAGGAGAAAAAAAAGTAAGGTGGAGCTCATGCCCAATTCGATCAGCCTAATCAATGGTTGAATAAGCACTGTCCTCCCGTTGTTCATCGATTTGCTCAAGCGGGTCCAGTAACGTCTCCATTGTGAGACTTCTTGTAACTGTTTGGCATATTGAATACATCACAGGTAGCTTGCCAGGCTTTCGGTAGCTTGGCGAGCTCTCCAAGAGGGGCTCTCCAAGAGGAGCTCTCTAAGAGGGGCGGAGGAATCGAACTCGGGTTGGCTGTGTTGGCTGTGTACAAGGCAAATGCCCTACCCGCTGTGCGATCACTCCAGCACTACCATGTTTAAAAAAAAGAAGAATTATCTAGGGCAAGGGACGTGGCTGGGGTAGACTCCATGTCTTTTTTGTAAAAGCCTTAGGTTTAATAATTACCTTATGCTTGGATGGGGGGGCCACATCTGGTGGTGTTCAGGGGCTACTTCTCACTCTGTGGTGGGGTCGCTCCTGGCATCACTGAGAGGACCAGACAGTGCCACAGATCAAGCTAGGGTGAGCTGAATGCAAAGCAAACACCTTACCCCTGTGCCAGCTCTCTGGCACAGATTCTCCCTATTCTTTACAGTTTACACAAACTTAGTCTTCTAGGCTACTAATCGATAATATTTTTTTAAATGGCTTATTAATCTCAGTCTGTGAGTTGGGATGCCTGGTTTTAGTTTTTGAGTCATACCTGGTGATGCTCCAGCATACTCCTGGCTCTGCACTCAGAGATCACTCTTGGCAGATTCAGGAGGCTGTATGCGGTGCGAAGGATGGAACCCAGGTTGGCCGTGTGTAAGGTACACACCCTGGCCACTGGACTATCTCTCGGCCACTGATCTTTTTTTTTTAATAAAAAGTTTCTTGCCATAATTAATATGCCTTTTTTATATTCTTAAAATCATGAGGTATTAAAGATATTTGATATATTATCTCATGCTTAATCAGAATAGCTTAATATTTGTCATCTTCCCTAGTAAAATCAAGTTGAATAAAGCAGCACACTCTTAAATTTTTTTCCACTTTTAGAACCATACCTCTATCTTCATTCACAATCATATGGAGTCTCATTTCCACATTCATTCATAAACACAACTCCCACACACTTCTTTGTGACTAAAAATATCATGAAGCAACTAGCATTCATCAAGCTGCACGTAAAACCTAGGAGCTTATGTTCACTTCCTAGTAACCTCTAACATTTTTTTTTCTTTCTGAGTCACACCTAGCAATGCTCAGGGGTTCCTCTTGGCTCTGCACTCAGGAACTACTCCTGGCAGTGCTCAGGGGACCGTATGGGGTGCCAGGGATCGGACCCGGGCTGGCCAC